CTGCAGATGCTGGAGAATCCGAGACAACAAGGTGCAGGGCTGGATGACCACAGCAGGCCAAGCAGCATCATAGGAGCAGGAAAGTTGATGTTTCAGGTTGTGACTCTTCTTCAGAAATCTGAATTCTGAAGAAGGGTCCCGACTGGAAAAGTCAACTTTCCTGCTCCTCTGATGCTGCCTGCCCTGCTGTGTTCCTCCAGCTCCATACTGTATTGTCCTAGATCTCAACATGCTGCTTTGGGCGCTGCCATCCCACACTCAGGAGCCTTTAGGATTTTGGCTTCTAGAGAGAGAAAAGAAATACTGCCAGCTTCCTAACCAGAAATTAAAATTCCCCTTAAACTTTACAAAACAGTCAGTGCTGATGCTTTGCAAGGGAAACTAGCTGGGTGAATTTATAGAGGGTGAATATCATTGGGTTCACCCAAATGACCTTTCCAAGTTCAACATATATTCTGTTTACTTGTATAAATGGGCTTTCTGTCAATCTTCCTCTGACTGGGAGAATCTCTGTATTGGTGCAAATGTTATTATGATGCCTAAATTTGACGCAGAACTCTAAAATACCAGACTTCTGCCTCACTTTAGGGAAGATTGAAGACTTAGTAGGCAGAGGGATGAGGAAGTGCATCATCTGCCTCCATTTCCATTTTGAATGAAATTAAACTGAGGCACTGTTCGCCCTGTCAGATAGATGAAAAGGATCTAATTGTATTCTTGTAGAAAAGCAAGGGAGTTATCCTCAGATTCCTAACGAATATTTATCCTTCATTCAACATCATAGATCAAAAGGTGATCTAGTCATTATCATCGCTCTATGCAAATTGGCTGCCTCATTGTTAGATTATAGTAAAGACGGCACTACAAAAGTGCTTAATTAGCTGTAAAACACACTGAGAGGTCTGATGGCTGGTAATATAAATCCTCATCTCTTTCTTTTTCTTTTTTTCTATATTGTAAAACAGTTTGCTGTTTATAAATCATAATATAAAAACATAATATAAAATACTCCAGGGAGGCAATGGCCCAGTGGTATCATCACTGGACTATTAATCCAGAGACCAAGGTAATGTTCTGGGTATAAAAACAGAAATTGTTGGAAAAGCTCAGCAGGTTTGGCAGCATCTGTGGACAGAAAGGATCACTGGACTCAAAATGTTAATTCTGATTTCTGTCCACAGAAGCTACCAGACCTGCTGAGCTTTTCCAGCAATTTCTGTTTTTGTTTCTGATTTTCAGCATCCTCAGTTCTTTTGGTTTTTATTTAATGTTCTGGATACTTGCGTTCAAATCCTGCTATGGCAGTTGGTGGAATTTGAATTCAATAAATATCTGGAATTAAGAGTCAAATGATGATCAAGAAACCTTTGTTGATTGTCAGGAAAAGAAAAGCTTATCTTTAGTGAAGGAAATTGCCAACTTTACCTGGTCTGGCCGACATGTGACTCAAGACTCACATCAATGTAGTTGACTCTTAACTGCCTTCTGGGCAATTAGGGATGAGCAATAAATGCTGACCTAGCCAGTGATGCCAACATCCTGTGACTTAAAAAGATTTAAAAAATACACCATTTGAAGATAAAACTGCAGCTGAATTGTATGTGCAGACCTTAGTGTGGCTCTCCACAGACTTCTAACCCTGCTTTGCTTGATGACTAGATTCATTCTGCTCTCCATATATTAGGAAAGATCAGCTGGAATATGGTTTTCATAAAGATATTTACGATAATTCCTTTTCACTGAATGATATGATAATGATAGCATGGAGTGCTATAAACCATAAATGAATGATAATATTGACTTTGGCACTCCTCAATTCATGGTTACTGATGAGACAGGTTTTCTGGATCATTGATCCTTCGGCTAGTTAAACCGAGGCTAATCTGCTTTGAGACTTTGTAACTGTGGCTGGTGCACAGGTCTGTGAGCGAAAGGATTACAGTTTCCCTCCTATTTATTGCTCCCAACCTAGTCTGGTTGAATCATAGTAAAGATAAGCTAATTTAACAAGAAATGCTGTGCAAGTACAATTTTGTGCAAATGCAGAAACTAAATAGGTAACTGGTAAATCTTTGTATCAAGGTTCATTTAATCATTCACTCCACCTAAAAAAAAAGTGTAAACATTCATTAATATTTTATGCAAAAGTGTCAATGATATTTTGTAATGGATAAAAGATACACATGGATAAATGATAGATACTTTATATTTGAACAGGATCTTGTACTTTCTTTTATACTATTTTCCACAGGACATGGGCTTTGCTGAGTCAGCCGTTCTAACACTTCGATACTTAGGTGTAGATTATGTATTGTACAGAATGGAAGTGAATTGTGAGAAAATTTAACTGATTAGAATTCTGTTTTGTTGTCTTAGGTTTCTCAGGGACCTGGCAATTGAGGTTACCTAAGTGAACTTCCTCAGAAAGAAATCAGATAAATAACCAGTCAACAATGGGGTCGGAAGTTAAAGGGTGCAGGTGTAGCTGGCGGAGACAAAAGTACCTCCCAAATTTCAATGGTTCCTACATTTATGTAGTGTTGGGGTGGAGTGAGAGATGGAATTTGCTGAAATGGCTGCATATTTCATCAGGAAAATAGAGAATGCATGAATATTTACCCAGAGAGTTGTCAAAGTGTGCGACTTGTTTTCTGATGGAATAGCAGAGGTGAACAGTGTAAATGCATTTAAAGGAAAGCAGATTAAACATGTAATGGAGGAAAGAATAAAACAATGTGCAGATATAATTTGATGATGTGGTGCTGGTGTTGGACTGGGGTGGACGACATCAGATTATAGTTCAGCTGGTTTATTTGAAAGCATAAGCTTTCGGAGCGTTGGCCCTTCATCAGGTGAAGCGATAATTTGATGAAGTGAAGTAGGAGGAGACTTATACATCAGTTGACTGAAATAACTTGTTTCCATTTTGTGAACTCCATATGACTCTATAGTTTTGCTTGTGTAGTTGTACACCAGCAGAAAGGAATCATGCAGAGCTATCCCTCCGGATATTCAAAGTGAGATGGACTTCATGATGTGGAAGACTGGAAGTGGTCTTTAAAGAAGCAGGCTTGTTGATTGAGATGGCCTTGTTTCAATTTTCCTTAATGGTATTCTTTTGAGATTAATGTTAGTGCCAAGTGACAGGGAGGTGATCAAAAATTGTGAACTGGTTAGGGTTCCAAGAGGCTACTGAGCATGATGTAACAATGATTTAATAGAACGTTAGAAGAGGTGTTTATCTGAATGCATCTCCAACTGTGATACTTATGAGACTGAATCTAAGAGAATCTATGGTTTGACTGCTTCTAGGGATGCTGAATACAAGGGGTTGCAACTGTCGCTTGATCAAGTAACAGCAACAAAACCATCCTTTTCATACGCAAACTCAACCCCAACCATCACGGACTCCAGGAAGACAAGCAAGTCCCGTCTTAGCCGAACAAAATCCAAACCAAGAACATCACCTTATCCTCAGGTGAATGATGTCCAATTGCTACTATTTTTGAGTGGGTTAGCAAAAACCTTAGGGAAAGTGGTGGCTCATTATCACTGTCAATGCTTCATGACAGGATACTAGGACCCATGTTTGCCTGTATTGAGAAAATCACCTAATTTTGAGTGTAAAGCAGTTGAAATAGGATTTTAAGTTTTAATTCTTCATGTTAATTTCATTATTTCCTACTATTTAAGATTAGTAATGTCCCCACAGCAATTGCTTCCAGAATGTGATAATGATAGCTATTTAGTTCAATGTCTTTAATACTAAAATACGTTGAGGCTGAAAATTCGTGAAGGATGGGCACACATCCTTAGTAATGTGCAAGGATGTTCCTGCCCAGAAAGCACATTGCCAACCCCACAGTGGGTCAGGGAGAGAAAGCGATGCTGCTACGGGTACATCTAAGGCCTTCACCCATCAAAAAACAACAAATTGTAGGACAGCTTACCATTTGTGGGGCGGGGGTTACCACACTCTTCCCTCAGAAAGCCTATAAGGTGCCAAAGTCACCCTCTTTTTCTGAGGATTTCAGGTTTAAAAAAATATATCTAGCGATTGCAAATATCCCAGCCATTGATTAAATCAAAGCATCAAATATTTGAAAGAATTGTGTTCTTCTTTAAAAATGAATTATGGCTCAAAATTGCAAAAGCATAATATCATATAAGAACCAATAATGTGGTCTGCATTCCCCACAGCATTGTAGTGTATTGGGTGCAAACATCTTGTGTAATTGGCTGCAGAAGTTTACACAGTGCACAGAGTGCAAAGTGCCCCATTATATAGGTCCCCTGTGCCACTGGCATTGGGCGTCTCCACTCAGACAGAGCGCACATATCATTTAACATTCCCAATTTATATGTAAATTAGGGACAAGCCACACGATACACCAGTCGTGATTCCAGAAATTCCAGATGTCAGTGCCTTCTTACAGAGGACACCACAGATGTCTTTGAGGAAACTCGTCTTCTGTCTTGCTGTTTGTTCTCTATTCCAAGCGATGTCACCCATTGTCGCAAGTTCTCTTGTCAAACAGTGCAATGAGGCACTTTTTATAGGGACAATAAAAAAACATGTTTCTCAATAGCTAGCAGCTCATGCCTATGTGACCTTGCCTGTGAAATGGTTAAATTAGCTGACCTTGCTTAATAGGGATAGCTCAGTTTGGAACTCTATTGGGTTACAACGCTAGTAACTGATGAATGGCAGCCACAACCACTGTATTATCATGCCCGTAGTGTGACATAATCATTTGGAATAGCTTAAAATTCTCTTGTTTCTTTTGGCAGAAACACTGATGTTGGAAAATGTGTTGAGTTCAATAAAATTTATACATTGTGCAGTGAACTATCTAAATCAATTTTCATAAAAATCTGATAATAGAGCTACTCACGAGCCTTTGGGCCGAACATTTTTTTCTCTGTGATCAGCAGTTTAAAGATTGTTTCATCTTGAAGTGTGAGAGCCACAGAACATTGCCAGTGTACCATAGAACCTCCAAGATTGTGAAGCTGATTCAAAAAATAATGTAACCAGTCTTCCTTGTGCATTTAAGCTTGTGTTTATTCTTCCATGGTATGTGGACACTGGTGGCAGGACCATCATTTGTTGCCCATCTCCAGTTGCGATTGAACTGAATGGCTTGCTATACTATTGAAGTGGGTGATTAGGGGTCAATCACATTGCTATGGGTCTGAAGTCAGGTGTAGGCAAGAACAGGTAAAGATGCCAGATTTCCTTCCCTGAAGGATATTAGTGAATGATAGAGATTTTTATGATAATTGATGGTAGTTTCAGGAACACTTACTGAAATTTTTAAATCCAGATTTACTGATTCAAATTAAATTCTTACAGCTACCATGGTGGGATTTGAACTGATATCACCATAGTATTAAGCCCAGGCCTCTGGTTTACTCAAACAATGTCATTACCACTACACTACCATTTCCCCCACACTATATGCACAGTGCTTTGTGATAGTATGAGTGAGCGTATGACTCTGGGATGCTCTTTTGTATGCTTTCGAAAATGTGCCAGCATAAAATTAACAATTTCTTTAAGCAATTATGACACTGACATTATTGCCTACAGTTGTAGCAGTGTGTTCACATAGAACATGACATTCATCCAAATTTGTTGATTAAGTACAAATAAAGTTGTGATTAAAAACAGAAATTTCTGTAATTGCAAAGTAGATCAAGCAGAAACTGTGGAGAAAGAAGCAAGTTAACATTTCAGGTCAAAGACCTCTCATCTGCAGTCTGTCTTTTCAGTTTGGATTTTCAATATCTGCAGTAATTTCCTTCTGTAAATTGTGACTTCAGTCTTAAGGCAAAACCATAACTTCAAAAAACTGTAATATGGTTACAACAGAGAAGGAAACTATTTGGCCTTGCTGTGTCCGTGCTGGCTTTCTGCAGAACCAATTTGGTTAGTCCCACTCCCCTGACTTTCTCCATAGCCCTGCATTTTTTTCTCTTTGGACAGATAATTATCCAATTACCCTCTCAAGCATTGCATTCCATATCTTACCTGCTTATTTGTTAAAATGTTTTTTCTCATGTCATCTTTGTTTCTTTTGTCATTCACCTTATGTTGCCGTCCTCTACTTCTCGATCTTTCCATTTGTGAGCATTTTCTCCCTAGCTTCTCTTTCTCTTCCCTTCTCTTCTCTTCCCTTCCCTTCCCTTCCCTTCTCTTCCCTTCTCTTCTCGTCTCTTCTCGTCTCATCTTGTCTCTTCTCTTCTTGTCTCTTCTCGTCTCTTTTTTTTCTCTTCTCTTCTCTTCTCTTCTCTTCTCTTCTCTTCCCTAAAGAGAACAGCCCCAGCTTCTTCAGTCTAACTGAAGCTCTTCATTTGGAACCATTCAGTGTAAATCATTTTGTAAAGCCTTGTTCATGGGATTTGTTGGGGAGCAGCCATTAGAGATGACCCACCTCTAAATGTCCAACAAAGAGTTAATCACGTTGCTGTGGGCTTGGAGTCACTTGTCGTTTAGACCAGATAAGCATGGAAGACTTCTTTCCTAAAGGACATTAGTAGGCCAGATGGGTTTGTACAATAATGAACAATAGTTACATCATCTATATTAGATTAGTTTTCAATTCAAGATTCTTACTGAATTCAAATTTCATTATTAGATATTGGGATAATGAGTACCAGCACCCTCAGTGTTTTCCTTTTAGATTAAACCATGCTTTTTGTAATCATAACTTCACATTTGACTACAGGATGATCTTCCAACCTAACATGTATGCCTTTGCTAAGATTGCCTCTTTCCGTCTCTGGCATCAACTGACTTTGCACCTGTCTTGGCTCATCTGCAGCTGAAATCATCATTCATTGTTTCCTCACCTCAAGAGTTGACTGGTCCAATGCATTGCTGACCGACCTCCCACATTCTAACCTTTCTAAGTTTGAGGTCATTCCAAAACTCTGCTGTCATGTCTTAACTTATACTCCTGGTTAGTGCTTACAGTTACAATCTGGTGCAAACGTTGTGTGTGTGCTTTCCTATTGAGATACCTTGACCAAGTCGAATAGTGCAGAAAACCAGCAAGGGTGAGAAAGACAGGAGGGAAAATGATATTTATCGTAATGTAATGGTTAGGTGGCACCATGAGCGGAATGTAATCCTCCCAGGGAAGGCAGGGTGAAATGCAGGTGTGTAGGGGGACCATATGTTGATGCCAAAAGGGGTGTGGTGGAGGCCCTATCACCTTCTCAACTCACCCCCTTTGCCCCCACACTCCTAGATTGAGTCCAGGGAGTTTAAATTTAAAGTCACACTTCCTGCCCAGAAGTCATTTGAGAATCTTAATAGCCTCATCCTGTCACTGCAGCATTTAATCGGGGCTGGATTTGGGACAACACTCACTGGGCAGCCTGCCAGTTAAACCCTAGTGGGCATTCCTGTGTCCTGATAGTGGGGACCCCTTCCTTCCTGGGCAGCCTGTGCAGCAGGGGCTCCCCATGCCTGAAGACTCCTGCCTGCCCTTTCAGCTGAAGGCCAGCTGGCACCTCCCTGACTATGACAATTGGAGAGCTTTGAGATATTGGGCATGAGGATGAAACAAAATAATTGCGGCTGATTTTGATGTTTGAAAATGCAGAAAGAAGTAAGATTGTGAAGGATGGTGTAGTTAGAGCAGAGCAGGAGTAAGAACTATTGAAGACATTATTTTGTTATTATTTAAGGTTACTTTAAATGAAACTCAGATGCAGATTTCTGATCCTTGCAATAATTTTATCCTTTCTCTCATCCTCCCCTCTCCTCCAGTATTCTGGATTTCACAAAGAAAGATCTGAATCGGACCATGAGAGCCAATGGGGAGGAAGTCCACTCACAGACAATGCTTCCCCACAACTGATGGATCATACAGAAGGGTCACAGCCACATTCACAGCACGACATTATATCCTGCGCCTACGGACAGTTTTCTGACAGAAATTCTTTGTGCTATGGCTTTGCCCTCGAGCACTCCAGATCGGTGGAGGAAAGGCAGTCCCACTTCCACACATCGCCGTGTGAGGGTGGAAGGTGCGAGGCAGGCAGATACTTTCTTGGGGGCTCGCAATCTGGAAGAGAGAATTGGTGGAACTCCTCCCGTATGACACTTGCTCTGACTAAGTCATCTCCAGAGAGCAGGGAGGGATATGAAAACAGCATGCCACACATAGCTACTATTCCCAGTATTCATGGTAAGATCATTTTAAGGAAGAATCACCAGAACTTGGAAAATTTGCAATGTAGGAAGCAATCATTTCAATGGAAGACTGAATTAAATTTGACAAGGAAAAGAGATAGGAAAAGAAAAAGAAAGGAAAAGAAATCTTATGAATTGTTCAATGAGCAATATGTATTTTTTTGTAACAAAATAATCTGAGTGCTAGTGTGTGGGGCTAAATTGCCTTTACATTAACAGTGACGAGCCTGAAGTTTACTCTGCTTAAGTGAATGGGCTTTGAGTAAGTTAAAATTTGGACCTTTCACAATGCAAAACTTCTTGGAAATTAAGAGGAAAAACTGGTTGAGGTAAGGACCACACTCATCAATCTGAGCTTCCCTCCAAATAATGCAACACGCACCTCTGCATTGGAAAGGAAGATAATTGCCTAACAGAGTTGGTGTGCTCTTGTTTGAAATGCAAGGTGAAAATCTAACTTTCATACTTGGGCAGAAATCTGGTGGAAAATACTAACTTCCAATTGTATAACTTGCTGAAATTTGGTTCAGTTGAAATGGTGTTTTGGCTAACATTTCCTGCTCAACCAGCATGGTAAAAACAAAATAAATTAAATTGGCATTAATAAGTCACAGTCATGAGTTTACCACACAAGATTAGTTCTCATCAGACTTACATATGCATTCATTGAGGATTAGATACTAAACAGAGAACTGTGAGTAGGTACAACGGGTCATTTCTAGGCTGGCATTCTATAGGGAGTGGGTATCAAAATGTGCAACGCTTTGCCCTCAGTTATTTACAATTGTCATGATCCAATTGGAAAAAATGTACTGATACTCAAGCCTCACAACTCCTGGGATCGTCAGAAAAGTCATAGACTTAATCAAGTTACTCAAAATTCATAATTTTTCTGCTTGATGAACTCAAGTTAACAGGAAACACCAACCAGGTTTCTGCACTTAACAATAAAACTAATATTTATTACAAAGAAATCAGTTCCATCCACAGGCAAACAAACTATGAATTGTCAATTATAATTCTCTAACTTAAGCACTACCTCTTCTTAAAGCCCTATACACATATGCAGATTGGCATAAATAAACAAAAATCATATTTGTTATGGGTGGAGAAAATAAATATTTTGGGAATACAGTTCAATAGTACCTACCCACCAGACTCAGTGGGGTGTCCTTTTGTTTCTTCTGATCTCTTATCTTCTTTGCACCAAGTCCCTCAAATTCTTTACTCAAGACACATTATTCAGTCTCTCAGTCACTGGTTAGAGGCAGCAGCTTATAGGAAAATGGTGAGTGAGAAAAGCCAGCCATCTTCCGATACTTTGTTAGTTCTGTGCAAGGAGAGAGAAGATGTTGTCTTTTTAGAGTTTGGAGGTTTTCTGCCACAGTATAGTCTGCCTGTGTGGAACCATTCAGAGAGCTGTTGTCATACTGAGCACTTCTGACCCGCACAACTTGGTCCTGATTGAAAAACCAATCAATAGACTCCTCTGGTGAAAAAAGCTGCCCTAAATACACACTCACAGTGCCAATGAGGCCAGCAATCTTCTCTCACTACCCTCCCATGTAAATATAACTCACAGAGATACAGTAACTTGTTACAACACTGTAACATCCCCTTACACAGTTTCCTTAGTTTAAAGCATTATTCTTTTCACATACTAGTTCACAATCCAAAAATAAAGAAAAATAAAAATCTTGTGGTCTTTACACAATTCACTTCAATGAATTACAGGTGTTGATCAATTATATCCAAGATAGCTGAAAATACAAATCTAGGTGAGAAAGTAAGCAGTGAGAAGAATGCAAAGATATGGATTAGTTGGATCAGTAGGGAAAAAATAATCAGATTGAATTTACTATGAGCAAGTGTGAAATTATCCACTTTTGGCAGGAATAATAGAAAAGCAGTATTTTTAAAAAAACGTGAGAAGCTGAGATATGTTGGGATTCAGAAGGACTTGGGTGTTCTTGTGCACAAAATAAAGTTAGAAGTCACACAACACAAAGTTATAGTCCAACAGGTCGATTTGAAGTCACAAGCTTTATGAGCGTTGCTCCTTGGTCAGGTGAGGAGCAGGGCTCCAAAAGTTTGAGATTTCAAATAAACCTGTTGGACTATAATATGGTATTGTGTGACTTCTGATTCTGTCCACTCCAGTCCAACATTGACAGTTCCACATCATGGCTACCACAAAATAAACAGAATTAGCACATAGGCCCAGCAAGAAATTAGGAAAGCAAATGGCATGCTCATCTCCAATACATGGGGATTGGAGCATAAGTGTGTCAAAGTCTTACCATAATTATATTAGGCCCTGGTGAGACCACACCTGGATGCTGTGTCCAGTTTTAATCTCCTTACCTAAGGAAGGATAAATTTACCTTTGAAGGTTGAGTTGACTCATTCGTCGAATGAAAGGATTGTCTTATGATGAGGTTATGAGTAACCTATCCTTATATGCCATAGAATTTAAAAGGATGAGAAATGATCTATTTCAAGATATAAAATGAATAAAGCAATTGGCAGGCATGTGCTTAGAGTATGTTTTCCCAGCTGAGGAGTCTAGAACAAGAGTCACAGTCTCAGAATAAGGCAGCAGCCAATTAAAATGGAGATGAGGGGAAATTTCTTCATTCAAAAGATTGTGAATCTTCAAAATTCTCTGAGACACCATAGATACTCAGCTATCGAGTGTGTTCCAAATGGAGATTATAAGAGATGGGGAGAGTGCAGAAAGGTGGCGTTGAGGCTGACAACCAGCTGTGATATTATTGAAAGGTGCTGAGGGGCCAAATGGTGTGTTGGCTTTCATAATGAAAGGTCTGAGTACAAGAGCAGGGATGTCTTGCTGCAATTGTACAGAGCCTTGTTGAGAGTTGTGTGCAATTTTGGTCACCTTGTCTGAGAAAGGATGTGTATTGGAGGGACCGCAACAAACATTTACCGACTGATTCCTGGAATGGCAAGACTGACCATATGAAAAAAGATTAGATCAGTTAGGAATATGTTCATTGGAGTTTAGAAGAATGAGAGGAGATTTCATAGAAACATAAAATTCCAACAAGACTAGACAAGGTGGTTGCAGGAAGGATGTTCTCAATAACTAGGGAATCCAGGCTCACAGTCTAAGCTTATGGGTTGGCGATTTAGGACTGGAATAAGATAAAATTTCTTACCCAGTGAGTGTTGAGCCTACGAAATTCTTTGCCACAGAATGTGGTTGAGGACAAAATATTGAATGTTTTTGAGAAAGAGGTAGATGTAATTCTTAGGGCTAGAGGGATCAAAGGGTAAGGGGAGAAAGCAAGAACTAGAGTTGGATGACCAGCAATAGACATATTGAACGGCAAAGCAGACTCAAAGGGCTGAATGGACTGCTCTGCTCCTATTTTCTATGAATGGCCTACTCCTGTCCTCTTGTGCTTTAGTTCAGGACATTGGTGAGACTGAGCTGCTCATTTGCCTACAAATATAAGTGATCTGGAAGTGATTGGAAATTGTGTTGAGATCTCCCGAGAATTGGTGAATTTATATGATTGCATTCTTTTTCTTAAGTAGTTCAAATGTTCCCTTTCCAACATTTTTAAACAATGGTAATATCTTTCTAATGTGTGATTAAATTTAAAATAGAAAATAAATGGAGTGGATCTTTGTTTACAGACTGTTCTAAAGAAAATGGAGAATGCTAATCTTTCTTGTGTTGCCTTTGGAATCAGTACAAGAAAGCTGGTCCAGCTTTGCTAAGAAAACCAGATCTGCACAGCTTCTAGAAGCTGGCACAATATTTGGCTGACTTTCACACCAGCTGGATGTGACTTATTCTCATATTGATTCATTTGACGCTATCTAACACAACAAACACTTTCTGGTTCATTTCTACTTAATTAGTAATAAGGCTGGATCTCTTCCAGATCTGTGTTGCTGTGGCTGGAGGATATTTTCAAGACACTAGCAATGAAATGTTTATGTAAACATCAAGCTGAGTTGCACAATTCTTGATTAACATCTTTCCCGTCATTTATTTGAGTTGATATTTTTCATCAACGTGGTGACCATGTCTGATATTGGAATAAAAGTTAGTCCACTGTTTACCTGTAGCAATATCACAATAAGTTTTTCTGTTATTTCACGTGATTTTTCTGTAAATAGTGAACAGAGGAAGTCTATAAAAATGCACTGTGCAGTGCCACTGTACAAAGTGACCAGAGAAATACTTAACCTGTTTGATTATAAGCCAAGTACTCAAATCTATGTTCAATCTTTAATTTTGTGTTTACTTGGCATTTGGATCAAATGTCACTATATCTCTGTTAGTGCTTTTTGTAGAAGCTTTTCCAGGTTTACATTTGTTAAACGCTAAAAGTTTTCTTTTATTTGCATTAGCTGCATTGTTGAAGCTGTTTGAGATATCTGTGAATTCAATGACTCACTGCTGGCAAATAAGATGAGAGCTTGGAAAGAAAAATTAGACAATGTTCCATCTAACAGTAGAAAATTGTAATGCATGGATAGATCCTCTGTTATGCATAAGATCTTGCATCTAGTTTGTCAATCAGATGACCTTCAAGACATAATACTTTTTTATTTGCTCATGAAATGTGGGAACTACTGGCAAGGCCAAAACTTTCGCCCATCCTTAACTGATGTTGACCTTATTTAACTCTTGCATTCGGTGTGGTCTAGGGCTGTTAGGATGCGACTTCCATGATTTTGATCCAGCAATATTGAAGAAACAGTGATCTAGCTTTAATTCAGCATACCTGTGACTTGGAGAGGAATTGGCAGTCTTAGCATTTCCAGGTGCCCGCTGCCTTTGTTTTTCGAGATGGTAGAGGCTGAAAGTTTGGGAAATGCTGTGAAGAAGTCTTGGTGAGTTGCTGAGGTGCATCTTTTAGATGATGCACAATAGAGCCATGATGCCTTGGTGATGGAGGCAGTGCCTTTCAAGCAAGTTGATTTGTTTTGGATGGTGTCAAATTTCTTGAACATTGTTGAAGCTGCATTTGTTTAGCAAATGAGAGTATTCCATCATATTCTTGACTTCTGCCTTGAAGATGATGGACAGGCCTTGCTGCATTTAACTGAGTGTGGCGTCAAGGAGCCCTGTCAAAATTAGAATCAGTGGGAATCTGGGAAAAAATTTCTGGTTGGAATTATATCTGGCACAAAAAAGATGGTTGTGGTTGATGGAGATTACTCATCTCAGTTCCAGGATATCTCTGCAGGGGTTCCTCAGGGTAGTGTCCTAAACCACGATAAAGAAGTGGAGATGTTTGCTGATTATTACACCATAGTCATTACCATTCACAACTCCTTAGATATAGAAGCAGTCCATTTTTAAATGCACTAAGTTTCTAGACAATATCCAGACTCGGGCTGAATATGGCAAGTAACATTCATTGTGGGCAATGTCTATCTCCAACAAGAGAGAATTTAACCATTGTCCCTTGAAATTCAACAGCTGAAAATACCAACTATAAACATTGTGGGGTTTACCGTTGGCCAAACTGAATTGATCTAACCATATACATTGGCTACAAGAACAGCTTGTGGCTAGGGATCGTATTTCATTTCCAGACTCCAAAAGCCTGTCTACTATCTACAAGGCATTAGTCAGGAGTGTGGATGAGTGCAGTTCTAACAACTCTCAAGAAGCTTCACACCATCCAGGACAAAACAACCACTTGAATGGCACCACATCCACTAACATTCGCTCCCTTCACCACTGGCGCTCAGTAGCAGCAGTGGATACCATTTACAAGATGCACGGCAGAAATTCACCAAGGCTCCTTAGATAGGACAAGGCCTCTTCAAAACCCATGACCACTTCTATGTAGAAAGACAAAGCCAGCAACTGCAAGGCAACACCACCACTTGCAAGTTCCTTACTAAGCCTCCACCATCCTTACTCAGAACTATATCGCTGCTGCTTCTTTGTCACTCTGTCAAAATCCTGGAACTCCCTTCCTTCAGGAATTCTGATCGTACCTGTATCAAATGAACTATGGTGGGTCAATAAGGAAGATCGCCATTATCTTCTTAATAAACTAGAGGTTCTCAGGTCCTAGAGGAAAGAATATAGAGGGCTGTAAAGGAGTTCAAACTAATTACGTGTTGGAATGGAATTGCTAGAAATGACAGAAACCTAATATTTGATTTGATTTATTACTGTCATGTGTAACAAGGTACAGTGAAAAGTGTTATCTTATGTGCTTTACAGGCAGATGGTACTATACAAGTGCATCATGGAAATACAGCACTGTGCAGGGTACAGTGTTCCAGCTGCCAAGAGGTGCAGAGAGAGGTCAACATTAACATTAAAGAGGTCCATTGAAAAGTCTGATAACATTGGGGAAGAAGCCGTTCTTGAATTTGTTCATACATTTATTCAAACTTTTATATTTTCTGTCTGACGGAAGAGGGTGGAAGAGAGTATAACTCGTATGAGAGGGGTCTTTGATTATGTTGATTGCTTTCATGAGGCAGCGGGAAGTATAGATTAAGTCAATGGATGGAGGCCAGTTTCTGTGATGGACTAAGCTGTGTTCACAACTCTCTGTCGTTTCTTTCAGTTTTAGGAAGATTAATTGCCATATCACGCTGTGATGCGTCCAGATAGGATGCTTTCAATGGTGCATCTATAAAAATGTGTAAGTCTTTATGGACATGCCAATTTTTTTTTGCCTTCTGAGGAAGTAAAGGCATTGGTGTGCTTTCTTGACCATAATGTCAACATGGGTGGACCAGGACAGATTGTTAGTGATTGTCACTTGCAGGAACTTGACTCTATCAACCAGCTCCTTTGTTTTCCCGATGTTGATGGAGCGCTTGTTGTGTTTACACCATACCACTGAGCCCTCAACCCCTTTCCTGTATTCTGTCTTGTCAGATCTGAAAAATGACATATAATGGTGTGTGCCATCAGCAAACATGTAAATGGATTTGTGGCAGAATTTAGCCACACAGCCTTGAGCGTATAAAGTTTACAGTAAGGGTCTGAATATGCACGTATGTGGGGCACCAGTGTTGAGGATTATTGTGGAGGAGGTGTTGTCGCCTATCCTTACTAACTGCAGTCTGTTGTTTAGGAAGTTGAAAATCCAGTTACAGAGGAGGGAGCAGAGACTTAGGTTCTGGAGTTTGGAGATGAATTTGTTTGGAATTATGGTGTTAAAGGCAGGGCTGTAGTCAATCAGTTGGAACCTGATTATGGGTATCCTTGTTGTCCAGATATCCCAGCGATGAGTGTAGGGCCAGGGAGATAGCGTCTGCTATAACAAGGTGTAGAGCTGGATGAACACAGCAGGCCAAGCAGCATCAGAGGAGCAGGAAAGCTGATGTTTCGGGCCTAGACCCTTCTTCAGAAATGGGGGAGGGGAAGGGGGTTCTGAAATAAATAGGGGGGGGAGGCGGATAGAAGATGAATAGAGGAGAAGATAGGTGGAGAGGAGACAGACAGGTCAAAGAGGCAGGGATGGAGCCAGTAAAGGTGACTGTAGGTGGGGAGTTAGGGAGGAGATAGGTCAGTCCAGGGAGGACGGACAGGTCAAGGGGGAGGGATGAGGTTAGTAGGTAGGAGATGGAGGTGGGGCTTGAGGTGGGAGGAGGGGATAGGTGGGAGGAAGGACAGGTTAGGGAGGCGCGGACAAGCTGGGCTGGTTTTCGGATGCAGTTGGGGGAGGGGAGATTTTGAAGCTTGTGAAGTCCACATTGATACCATTGGGCTGCAGGGTTCCGAAGCAGAATATGAGTTGCTGTTCCTGTAACCTTCGGGTGGTATCATTGTGGCACTGCAGGAGGCCCAGGCTGGACATGTCGTCTGCGGAATGGGAGGGGGAGTTGAAATGGTTCGCGACTGGGAGGTGCAGTTGTTTAGTGCGAATCGAGCATAGGTGTTCTGCAAAGCGGTCCCCAAGCCTCCGCTTGGTTTCCCCGATGTAGAGGAGGCCACAACAGGAACAGCGGATGCAGTATACCACATTAGCAGATGTGCAGGTGAACATCTGCTTGATGTGGAAAGTCTTCTTGGGGCCTGGGATGGGGGTGAGGGGGTAGGTGTAGGGGCAGGTGTAGCACTTCCTGCGGTTGCAGGGAAAAGTGCCGGGTGTGGTGAGGCTGGAGGATAGTGTTGAGCGGACAAGGGAGTCATGGAGAGAGTGGTCCCTCCGGAAAGCAGATAAGGTTGGGGAGGGAAAAATATCTTTGGTGGTGGGGTCGGATTGCCGATAGCGGAAGTGTCGGAGGATGATGCGTTGGATCCGGAGGTTGGTGGGGTGGTATGTGAGGACGAGGGGGATTCTGTTTTGGTTGTTATTGCAGGGAGGGGGTGTGAGGGATGAGTTGCAGGAAATGCGGGAGACACAGTCGAGGGTGTTCTCGACCACTGAGGGGGGGAAGTTGCGGTCCTTGAAAAACGAGGACATCTGAGATGTACAGGAGTGGAATGTCTCATCCTGGGAGCAGACGCAGCGGAGGCAAAGGAATTGGGAATAGGGGATGGCATTTTTGCAGGATGGTGGGTGGGAGGAGGTGTATTCTAGGTAGCTGTGGGAGTCAGTGGGCTTGAAATGGATATCGGTTTCTAGGTGGTTGCCAGAGATGGAGACAGAGAGGTCCATAGCGTCTGCTGTGGACTTGTTGCGCTGGTAAGCGAACAGCAAGGAATCAAGCCAATCTGGGAGGCTGGAGCTGATGTGGTCCATGGCCAATCTCTTGAAGCACTTCATAATTATTGATGTCAGATCTAACCGGTGATAGTCATTGAGGCATGATGCATGATTTTTCTTCGGTACTGGGGTGATGGTGGTCTCCTTGAAGCAGGTGGGGACTTCAGATTGTAGTAAGGGGAGGTTAAAGATGTCTGCGACTACTCCCACCAGCTGGTCTGCACAAGATCTGAATGCATCGCTGGGGACTCCATCTGGGCTGGTTGCTTTCTGTGGGTTCACCTTTAAGGCCGAGCTAACACCTCAGCGGTGACTAACGGTACAGGTGCATCAGAGGCTGTTGGGATAGGTGACATTGTTTCACTGCTCTTCTGTTTAAAGAATGAGAGAAGGAAGGTCAAATTAAAGGAAGGAATAAGGACAAAATGAATGGCGAAAAATTAGATTAAGCCATAGACCATACAATTAAAACATGCTCAATCCAATGAAAGAGGAATGATGAAATAAAAAACTGTTTTTACAGCAATGTGTGTGGTATTCAAAAGAAAATAGGTGAACATGAGGCAATTATTTGTAATTACCTGTGATGTAATAGCAATGACAGAGATATGACAATGCAGAGAAAGAAATAGCAACTAATTATTTCAGATAAAGCTCATTTGGGAAAAAATGTATTAAGAAAGGAGGGATGTTGGAATAACTGTAATAGTTAGAGATAAAATTATAGTGTTAGAAAAAAAAACTGTATTTAGCAAAAACATAGACACAGAATTCATATAGAT